CCTACGCGGCCTCACCGCCCTTACCTACGCGGCCCCCCGCCTTACATACGTCGCGGCCTCCGCCGCCCTCACTTAGCGGCCCCGCCGTTCACCTTCGCTCTTCCCGCCGCCCTCACGTAGCGGCCCCGCCGCACTCACCTTCTGCGGCCCCGCGGTCTCCCCTCCTGCCGAGCAGCCCGAGCAGCCGCCCGCCACGCCGCCCCAGTACCGGAGCAGCCGAGCCACCCAGCAGCAGCCGCCGGGCCGCCTGGGCCGCCGAGCCGCGGTTCAGCCGAGCCGCCCAGCAGCAGCCGCAGAGCCGCCGGGCCGCCGAGCCGCAGTACAGCCGAGCCGCCCAGCAGCCGCCGCCGAGCCGCCGAGCCGCAGTACCGCCGAGCCGCCCCGCAGCCGAGCCGCACTACTGCCGAGCCGCCCGACCTGCCCTGTCTGGTGAGCACAGCCCCACTGCTACTGCGTGCCCTTCCCCCCACTGCTTGCACTGCTAGTCTGTCGTCATGGCTACCCCTAGTGTCCTCGCTTTTGACGCTGAGGGTCGAGCCATTGACTTTGAGGTCTGGGTCGACGACCTGCAGCTGTTTTTACAGTGCGATAGGGGCGGACGGTCTTTCTCTCTTTGACCTCACCTCTGGCGCCTCCCTGCTCCTGCTGCTGATGCTGACCCCACTGTTCGCTCTCTATGGGCCAGCCCGCGATGCTGCTGCACGTCTTGCTGTGCGTCGCCACCCTGCCTACCACTGAGCCGCCGCGCACTTTAGTCAGTACAAGAGTGCTCAGACCTTGTACGACGCTGTAGTTGCGCGCTACTCTTCCCCTGCCACTGCTGCACTGAGCCGCCTCATGCTACCGTACCTCTTTCCTGACCTTGCTGCCTTTCCTACAGTCGCTGACCTCATCACGCACCTCCGCACTTCTGACACTCGCTACCGCGCCGCACTTCCTGCTGAGTTCTACGCCAAGAACCCCCCCCCCCCCATGTACATCGCTCTCTATTACATAGTCACTCGCCTCCCTGACTCCCTTCGCGTAGTCAGGGACCACTTCCTCTCAGTCTGTCCCACCACCCTCACTGTCGACCTCCTCGAGAAGGCGTTCCTAGCGGAGGAGAAGAGCATAGTCGCTGTAGGAGCCTCTCGTGGTGACCCGCGCACCCCCATCTTTGAGGGGTGTTCTCCTTCCCCCCTGCTGCCCTCTGTTGCCTCTGCTGCTGCTGCTGCCGACCTGCTTGGTCTTGAGTCGGTCGGCGCGGCGTCTGCCCCTAGCGGGAGACGCCGCCCTGGCAAGGGCAAGGGGGGCAAGGGCGCGGGTGGAGCTGGCGGGGGCGGTGGAGGTGGCAATGGCGGTGGCGGAGGGAGTGGGGGTGGCGGTGGGAGTGGTGGTGGGGGTGGTGGTGGTGGTGGCGGCAGCGGAGGCGGCGGCGGGAGCGGAGGTGGAGGTGGCGGTGGGAGCGGGGGCGGCGGTGGGAGCGGAGGTGGAGGCGGCGGTGGCGGAGGAGGTGGAGCCGGTCGGGGTAGTGCCCCGCAACGGAGCAGCTCTGGTGGTGGTCCGCGCCAGCAGCAGCAGCAGCAGCAGCGTTCTCGGGACATCCCCCCACCTCAGCAGCTCCGTGAGTGGTACACGCAGCGTCAGCGTGGTGGGGGTCTTGGCCGGTGCACCTACGTTCTTCGTTCCGGCGACCGCGCGGCGTGAGCAGTGTGGGGGTGCCCACTCCACCCAGCGCTGCTTTGGGCGCCTGACGGACGCTTGGCGTCAGCAGTTCCCCGAGGCTAGTGAGATTCCCCACTGGGGAGAGCTGTCTAGGGCTGGCGTAGTGATCTTTGATCTTGACTTAGATGCTATCCTTGCTGCCATGTATGCTGTGACTATTAGTGATGAGGGTGACTGTTACCGGTGTTTCCCGCCCGACCCCGGGCATTGGTACTGCTGCGCTAGGTGCTTGTGAGGCTGCTGCTCTAGGTGCCAGTGCGTCTGCACTCTTAGGTACTGGTGAGGCTGCGCTCTCAGGTACTGCGTCGGCTTCGGCCTCCCTCACCTTCACACTTGACTCAGGGGCTTCTCGCTCCTTCTTTCGAGACCGCACCACACTCACACAGCTTAGTCGGCCGGTTGCAGTCTCCCTGGCTGACCCCTCTGGGGGTCCTGTCCTCGCTCACTTCTCCACTGTCCTCCCGTGTACGGCTGCCCCCTCGGGCACCCTGTCGGGTCTGTACCTCCCCTCGTTCTCGACGAACTTGGTGAGTGGTGCTGACCTGCAGGATGCGGGGGGTTCACCAGTTTACTCCTGCGAGTCAGCGGGGGACCCACTGCTCGGGACGCCCGCACAGGCCGACACCTAGCCACGTTTTCGCGTCGGCCCGGGTCGAGTCTCTACATCCTGACCATTGAGTCTCCTCCAGTCCCTGCGTCTGGCCAGGTAGCTGCGTCGGGTCAGGTGTTGCTGCTGCGTCTAGGTCTGGTCCTGAGTCTGCCCCCTGCTCGTGTCGCCTCCTGTCTCACGAGACTCTCTTGTGGCACCACCGTCTTGGCCACCGTCTTGCCTCGTCTTCGGGGCATGGCTTCCCGTGTCCTTGTCTCTGGTCTCCCCCGGTCTCTCCCTCCCCTTCCTTCGGGGCCAGGACCTTCCTGTGTCCCCTATGTCGAGGGGCGGCTCCGGGCTGCCCCTCACTCCTCCCACTTTCCCCCGACAGAGGGCTCCTCTGCAGACGCTTCACATGGACGTGTGGGGCCCGGCCCGCGTCCGTGGACAGGGTCACGAGCGCTACTTCCTGCTGGTGGTTGACGACTACTCGCGTTACACCACGGTCTTCCCCTTTGTGCAGCAAGGGTGATGTCACTGGGGTGTTGATCGACTGGATCCGCGCAGCTCGTCTCCAGCTCAGGAGGAGCTTCGGCTCGGATTTTCTTGTTCTGCGTCTGCACTCTGACCGAGGCGGAGAGTTCTCCTCAGGCCTTCTGCGAGCCTACTGTCGTGCACTAGGCATCCGCCAGACCTTCACGCTTCCGGACTCTCCACAGCAGAATGGGATTGCTGAGCGCCGCATTGGCATGGTCATGGACGTCGCTCGTACGTCCATGATGCATGCGGCTGCCCCCCATTTTCTGTGGCCGTTTGCGGTTGAGTACGCGGCGCATCAGCTCAACCTTCACCCCAGGGTCTCCCGGCCGGAGACCTCCCTTGCTCTGCTGTGGACGGGGAAGGTCGGCGATGCGTCTGCGTTCCGTGTCTGGGGATCTCGGGCGTTTGTCCGCGACTTGTTTGCGGACAAGCTGTCCCCTCGTGCTGCTCCCTGTGTCTTCATAGGCTTCCCCCCTGACGCCCCAGGGTGGCAGTTCTACCACCCCTCCTCTCGTCGTGTTCTGTCCTCCCAGGACGTCACGTTCGACGAGTCCGTCCCCTTCTACCGCCTCTTCCCCTACCGCACTCCTTCCCTCCCCCCGCCACCGCACTTCCTTGTGCCAGGTCCCCCCCCGGTAGACCCCCTTCCCCTTAGGGTCCTGCCCCTTCAGGTGTGTCCGAGGTCGATGCAGTCGAGCCGGTCGAGGTTGCTGGTGACTCAGGTACTGCTAGGGGTGCTGAGCCTGGGGGTGCTGCGCCTCGGGGTGCTGACTCTGTGGGTGCTGAGTCTGGGGGTGCTGAGCCTGGGGGTGCTGACTCTGGGGGTGCTGAGTTTGGGGGTGCTGAGCTTGGGGGTGTTGGGTCTGGGGGTGCTGAGCCTAGGGGTCCTGAGCCTGGGGGTGCTGAGCCTGGGGGTGCTGCCTCTGGGGGTGCTGCGCGCGGGGGTGCTGAGCCTGGGGGTGCTGCGTCTGGAGCTGCTGAGCCTGGAGGTGTGGAGCCTGCGGCCACTGGACCTCCCCTTGTGGCGTCTGGCGGTGCTGGGCCTAGAGGTTCTCCGGGTGTTTCGTCTCGGCGGGAGCCACTCTCTCCACAGGAGCTGCGTGAGTGGTTTGCTCGCCGCTGGAGGCGTACGGCTGGAGCTGGCGCTTCTTCGACCGCTGAGGGTGCTGGTGCCGACAGTCCCGGAGCTGCTGGGCCTGCGGGTCCGCCTGGAGCTGGAGCTGCTGAGGGTGCTGGTTCTGAGACTACTACTGTCAGTCCTGGTGGTGGTCGTGCTGCGGGTGCTGCTGGTGCTACTGGAGGTCCTGCCGCTGGAGGTGCTGTTGGCGCTGGTGCTGCGGGAGGTGCTGAGGGTGCTGGTGCTGTCCCTGCTGTGTCTGGAGCTGCAGCGCGGCCTCGGCTGTACTTTGTTCCGCTTCTTCAGCAGGTTCTTGGTCTTCCTCCTCTCTTAGAGTGTCCACCGCCTGTCCAGTCGCAGTCACAGTTACCGCCGGCCTCCCCACTTCCTTCTCCTTCACCTTACACTGGTCCTACTGGAGGTCTTGCTGAGCGTCGTGAGCCTGCTTCTCGTCCTGCGTCGCCTGTTCGTGCGGCTCGCACTAGTGGTCGCAGTTCGCGTCAGCGTCCTCCTCCTGTCCCTGGCACGCATTGAATGTCTCTGCGTCCGTCCACTGCTCCTCTACGTGCCCCTTTGCCCCTCTCCTCCTGAGTCCTCTCTTCCTGCGCTTGCCGACCCTGAGTCGGACTCTCTTCGTGCTGCCAGTCCTACTGTCACGCGTCTCCTTGCTACTGTCGTCACTGACCCCTCCTTTGAGTCCACTGCTGCGTCTCTTCTTGTTGCTGAGCTCGTCGACTTTGCTGCTCGCTATCGTCTAGACTACGCTGCTAGTCTTGTTGCTGAGTCTGCGTCTGTCTGTCCTCCGTCCGTCGGGGGTGAGTGTGCTCTTGGCACGGACGTCCTTGAGGACAGGCAGGAGGAGTTTCAGTGTCTGGCTGCTGCTTCACCTCATCTCGCGTCTGTACTGCTTGCCCTTGAGGGAGACCCGGATGCACTAGACATCCCGACTCCGCGCTCTTACGCGGAGGCCGTAGAGGGTCCCTACTCCTCTCAGTGGCAGGCAGATATGGATGCAGAGATGGCTTCCCGGAAGTCCACAGGCACCTAAGTTGACGCGGTTCCCCCTCCTGGGGCGAACATCGTCAGTGGCATGTGGATCTTCAGGGTGAAGCGGCCGCCGGGCTCTCCACCTGTCTTCAAGGCGCGGTACGTGGCTCGTGGCTTCAGTCAGCGGCAGGGAGTTGACTACTTTCAGACCTTCTCTCCCACCCCGAAGATGACCACTCTTTGGGTGCTGCTGCACATAGCCGCTCAGCGCGACTACGAGCTCCACTCTCTTGACTTCAGCACTGCTTTCTTGCAGGGTAGCCTGCACGAGGAGTTCTGGCTGCGCCGTCCACCTGGCTTCACTGGGACTTTCCCTCCTGGCACCCAGTGGAGCCTCCGACGGCCAGTCTACGGTCTCCGCCAGGCACCGCGTGAGTGGCACGACACACCAAGGACTACGCTTGCGGCTCTTGGGTTTGCTCCCTCTACTGCTGACCCGTCGTTGTTTCTGCGCACCGACACTTCTCTGCCGCCGTTCTACATCCTCGTGTACGTCGACGACTTGGTCTTTGCCACAGCGGACACTGCTGGACTTGCCTACGTGAAGTCCGAGCTGCAGAAGAGACACACGTGCACAGACCTGGGTGAACTGCGCAGCTACCTTGGCTTGCAGATCACTCGGGACAGAGCACGCCGCACCATTACCTTGACTCAGTCACACATGGTGCAGCAGGTCCTTCAGCGCTTCGGCTTCACGTACTCCTCGCCTCAGGCCACTCCTCTGTCTACTCGCCACTCGCTCTCAGCTCTGCCTTCGGATGAGTCCGTAGAGTCGAGTGGCCCGTACCCAGAGCTTGTTGGCTGCCTCATGTACCTGATGACCTGCACACGACCTGACCTTGCATACCCTCTTAGCATCTTGGCACGCTATGTTGCTCCTGGGAGACACCGACCAGAGCACATGGCTGCAGCGAAGAGGGTGTTGCGCTACTTGTGCAGTACGTCGGGCATGGGGCTAGTGCTTGGAGGGCGGAGTCCAGTGGTCCTCACTGGGCACGCGGACGCTTCTTGGGCTGACGACCAGGCTACTCAGCGGTCGTCGCAGGGTTACACCTTCAGTCTTGGTTCCGGCTCTGTTTCGTGGCAGGCTACTCGCTCGTCTTCTGTTCTCAGCTCCAGTTGTGAGGCTGAGATCTACGCCGGGGCCATGGCTGCACAGGAGCTTCGCTGGCTCACCTACCTGCTGACTGACCTTGGAGAGCCGCCTCGTTCTCCTCCAGTGCTGTACGTAGACAACAAGGCCATGCTGGCCTTGTGTCGAGAGCAGTGCCTGGAGCACAGAACGAAGCACATTGCTCTCCGCTACTTTCTTGCTCGTGAGCTGCAGCAGCGTGGTCAGTTGCGACTTGCGTACGTGGCCTCTGAGGCCAACACTGCTGATGTTTTCACCAAGGCACTTCCGCCTTGTGATCATCAGCGTTTCTGCACTCAGCTGGGACTTGTCCCAGTCTTGCCTCACTTGCTCACCTCTTGATCTTACTTGTACTCTTGCATATATATATACCTGCTCTTGCTTGTTTAGACTTATATATATATGTCTCATCCTGCATGTGAACTGGCCTTGTGGCCTTGACCTTATGCTCAGACTGTGTGGTGACGTTGTGATCCACCCTGAGCTTGCTTTGCTTTGCTTTGCTTGACTGGTCTTGTGACCCCTTGTTCTCCCCCACATTGCCTATGGGGGTGTGTCAGAACATTATAGCTTATGCTTTTGTGTAGGCTATAGTGGGGTATCCCATAGGGGGTACAACCCAATTAGGGTTAGTACTTGTACCCACTTCATTCATAGTTCATCCATTCGCGTTCACTCTTTCACAACCAACGACGTTACGCAACAGCTATTCGCGCAAATCGCCATGATGGAAGCGGAGATGCGAGCGATTACCGAACGGTCGCGATTGGAGAACGAGCAGCTGCGAAATGAACTGCAGCGCGTTACGCAGCTCCTCTCGACCATAAACATCCCTGCTTCGGCGACTTCGCAGCAGTCGCAGCGTCAGTTCGAGGTTTCGAAACTTCGCTCGCCGGTATCGTTCGACCCCAGCGACAGGAAATCCGACGTCAAAGGATGGCTCGCAACGATCGAAATTTATTTCGCGGCAATCGTATGGTCGACGACGGAGTACGACGGCGAAAAAATTCGTCTCACGACAACGTTGATGCGCGGCCCAGCTCTCGAATGGCTCGGAAGCAATAGTAGAATTTCCCAGGGCGAAGCCACGTGGCAGCAGTTCCGGGCAGACCTTCTCAAACGTTTTGAGCTGATTAATTCCACTTATATTGCGCGCGAAAAATTACATCATCATCGGCAATATGGGAGTGTCGCGCAGTACACGCAGCAGATGGAAGAATTTTATAATCGCATTCCCGACATTGCCGAGGGTGAAAAAATTCAGTCCTACATTGCGGGGCTGAGAATCGACATTCGCCGCCATGTTGCAGCAGCGAATTGCAGCAGCTACAGTGAGATCGTATCGGCCGCGGAACGATTTGACCTGGTCAACCCCACGTCGTCGGTTCACGACAAGGGGATCGCTCTTCTTCAACCACGTTCGCCGACCCCATGGAAGTCGACAAATTCGACGCGAAGTCACGTCCTGCAAAAAACAAAACGGTTTGCGATTTTTGCGGCGGAAACGGACATCGAATTTCCGACTGTTTTCACATGAAATCTGCACGTGCAGCATTCCGAGCTCGTGGGAGTGGCGAAACTAAAGACAAAAGGTAAAAAAACGGATCTCGCAAGTGATTCCGCTGGCGAGGAAAAGCAGATCCGAAAGCGTCAGCGCAATCTTGACCGAATCGAAACAGAAGGACAGCATTGGGCGCGAGATTTGGAGAATCAGTGGCGAAATCCCGAGCCCCATGACCGAAATTTGTCAGAGGCATTCGCCTAGGAAAAGAAAACCTTCGCGAAAAAAGACTCGACCAAGACGGGAAATCTCCAATTAGACCCCGGTTAAAAACAGAATTCGTTAAAGTTATCTTTAAAAGATGCTTTAATGAAGATTGGTGATTTTCGCGGGTCCGGAGCCATAAACAAATTCCGGGAAGAACTCCAGAGGAAGCAGATAATTAAAGAAGTGGTACCGGTGCCTACGAGCTGGGGAATAAATTAAGGAGTGTGGAAAGGAGCGAGCCTTTTCACGGTGTCAACGTCTTCTCCCGGAACCAGCCCAAGACGACTCTCCACTCCCCAAGGAAGAAGTCTATGGAGCTGAAGCAGCTGAGGAGGCAGCTGGGAGTTGAAAAGAAGCTTCGAAAACTCCGAAAACCCCTCCAGGATGCATCCAGTGGATCGCAGGCGTCGACCGGATCCACCCCCTCAGGGTCAACCTGTACGGTTACTACCTCTACTCCTGGCGTTGGAGAGGAGCCTTTCTCCACGCAGCCCAGGCCAGCTGTTAGTCCAGGAGCAAGCAGTGGAACCACGGTGTGTACTGAATATTGGGATGTACCCTATGATCCTATTAATGAGACTATTTTTGGGTACTCCGAGCAACGCTCACCACTCCTGCTCGAGGTGATCTGCAACGGACTATCAGAATGTTATTATCTAGCATGTAGTGGGGTGTGTCAAACATTATATATGTTGTGCTTGTTTAGGCTACAGTGGGTTAGCCTATAGGGGGTACACAATTCTAGGGTTAGGTACTTGTACTGATTTCACTGTTACTTCAATCATTCCTGTCTGTTCATTTCAACATGGTATAGAGAAGGTCCTTCGCTAGGACCGTTTTTTTTAGGGCCCACCACTACCTACCTACCTACCTAACTGCGCCCTAGTGCGCCTCGTTTTTCACGGCCCCCTAAGGCCCCGCGACCCGCGACCCGCCCCTTAGCGACTCGCGCGCCGCCCCTTAAGGCCCCGTCAACCCACGCGCTCGCCTGGCCTTCGCGCCATGCACTCCCGATACCTTGTCTCTGGCCTTCCCAGGGTCCTTCCTCCCCTCCCTCCCTCATCTGCTCCTCCCTGTCTTCCCTGTGTTGAGGGGCGGCAGCGCGCCGCTCCTCACTTCTCCTTGTTTCCCCCGACGGCTGCTCCCTTGCAGACGCTCCACATGGACATGTGGGGCCCAGCCCGCGTCCGTGGTCAGGGTCAGGAGAGGTACTTCCTGATAGTTGTTGACGACTACTCGCGCTACACCACGGTCTTCCCCTTGCGCACCAAGGGTGAGGTCCCTGATGTCTTGATCCCTTGGATCCGCAGAGCCCGTCTCCAGCTCAGCGAGCGTTTCCACTCGGACTTTCCTGTCCTGCGCTTGCACTCTGACAGAGGTGGTGAGTTTTCCTCCGACCTCTTGGCAGCCTACTGTGCTGAGCACGGCATTGAGCAGTCGTTCACGCTTCCAACCTCTCCACAGCAGAATGGGATTGCGGAGCGCCGCATTGGCCTGGTCATGGAGGTCGACCGTACCTCCTTGATCCATGCGGCTGCCCCCCACTTTTTGTGGCCGTTTGCGGTCCGGTACGCTGCGCATCAGCTCAACCTCTGGCCCCGTGTCTCCTTGCCGGAGACCTCGCCCACATTGCTGTGGACGGGGGAGGTTGGCGATGCGTCGCGCTTCCGGGTCTGGGGATCTCGAGCTTTTGTCCGCGATACGTCTGCGGACAAGCTCTCCTCCCGTGCTGTTCCCTGCGTCTTCCTCGGCTTTGTCCCGGACGCGCCTAATTGGCAGTATTACCACGCCACCTTGCGCCGAGTCTTGCCCTCTCAGGACGTCACTTTTGACGAGTCCGTCCCCTACTACCGCCTCTTCCCCTACCGCACTGCCCCGCTCCCCCCCCCGCCTCTCTTCCTCACGCCAGGTGCTGCTGTCGTAGACCCCCTCCCCCCTCAGGGTGCCGCTCCCTCAGGTGTGTCTCAGGTAGACCCGGTTGAGCCTGTTCAGGTAGCTGCCGACTCTCGTCCTGCTGTGGGTGCGGAGCCTGGGGGTGCTGAGCCTAGGGGTGCGGAGCCAGGGGGTGCTGAGCCTGGGGGTGCGGAGCCTGGGGGTGCGGAGCCTGGGGGTGCGGAGCCTGGGGGTGCTGAGCCTGGGAGTACTGAGCTTGGGGGTGCTGAGCCGCAGAGTCTGGAGTCCTACACCTGGAGGAGCCCTCTCCTCGGAGCAGCTGCGTGAGTGGTACTTCCAGTACTGCAGCCTCAGGAGAGGTACCTCTGGAGCCAGGCGTACTACTGGGACTGGTGCTAGTGCTTCTCCTCCTAGCCGGGAGCTCCCCTCCCGTGAGCGGATCCGTGAGTGGTACGAGCGGCGGTGCACTGTTCCGAGTGGCGCGCCTGGTGTCGCGGACCCCGCTGCTGCTGCTGGTGCTGCTAGTGCTGGAGACTCTACTGGTTCTGCTGGTGCTGCGGCCCCAGAGGTTGGAGCTTTTTTTGGTGCTGCGGACCCGGGCGTTGGAGCTACGGCTGGTGCTGAGGACCCGGGCGTTGGAGCTGCTGCTGGTACTGAGGACCCGGGCGTTGGAGCTGCTGCTGGTGCTGAGGACCCTGGAGCTGGTGCTGCTGCTGGTGCTGTGGAGTCGGGCGTTGGAGCTGCTGCTGGTGCGGAGGACCCTGGCGCTGGTGTCTCTGCTGGTTCTGGAGTCGCTGCACGGCAGCGGCCGTACTTCGTTCCGCTCCTTCAGCAGGTTCTTGGTCTCCCGCCTTCTCTCGGTCCTCCTCCTCCCTTAGAATGTCCACAGCCTGTCCAGTCACAGTTACAGTTACAGCCCGCCTCCCCACTGCCTGCTCCTTCTCCCTACACTGGTCCTAGTGGAGGTCTTGCTGAGTGTCGTGAGCCTGCGTCTCGCCCTGCGTCGCCTGTCCGTACTGCTCGCGCTAGTGGTTGCGGTTCGCGTCAGCGTCCTCCTTCTGTCCCTGGCACGCACCGGATGTCTCTGTGTCCGTCCACTACTCCTCTGCTTGCCCCTTTGCCTTCTCCTCCTGAGTCCTCTCTTCCTGCTCTTGCCGACCCGGAGTCGGACTCTCTTCGTGCTGCCAGTCCTACTGTCACGCGTCTCCTCGCTACTGTCGCCACTAACCCTTCCTTTGAGTCCACTGCTGCGTCTGCCCTAGTGGCTGAGCTCGTCGACTTTGCTGCTCGCTGTCGTCTAGACTACGTTGCTATTCTTGTCACTGAGTCTGAGTCTGTCTGTCCTCCGTCCGTCGAGGGTGAGTGTGCCCTTGGCACGGACGTCCTTGAGGACAGGCAGGAGGAGTTCCAGTGCTTGGCCGCTGCTTCACCTCATCTCGTGTCCGTACTGCTTACCCCTGAGGGAGACCCGGATACACTTGACATCCCGACTCCGCGCTCTTACGCGGAGGCGATAGAGGGTCCCTACTCTTCTCAGTGGCAGGCAGCTATGGATGCTGAGATGGCTTCCTGGAAGTCCACAAGCACCTACGTTGACGCTATCCCCCCTCCTGGGGCGAACATCGTCAGTGGCATGTGGATTTTCAGGGTGAAGCGGCCGCCGGGTTCTCCGCCTGTCTTC